GCATTCATCTGTTTTTTTTTTTTTTTCAAACCTTTAGTCAACGGTGGAGCCCACAAATAAAATTGGTAGCAGGTAGACTTCCCACTCATGGGGTCCAAGTTGGCATGCCAAGTTGTAAAAAAAGTCTGAGGTGGCGCTGATATGTGCATACTTGACGAAGGCCAACGGTGCACGTGCTAGACGTGATGCTCTGGCGTTAAATTTTGCCTCATTTCCTCAAACTCGAAAATATGAAGGGTAAAAATTCATGTATTGTAATATGGAGGGTAAAAACCCTCAAATTCGAAAAGTTAAGGGGCAAACGGGTACCTTTTGCCCTTTAGGGTATAACACTTCCCTTATTTTCTGTAGGTTTAAACCCCAATTTGGTCCCTCTACTTTGATAAAAAGCCCATTTTTAGTCCCTCTACTTAAAAAAACCCCTTTTTGGTCTTTCAAGTTTGAAATTTGACACATTTCTTAGTCCCTCCATTAAGTTTTGACATTAAATGAAGGAAATTTCAAAATAGAGGGACCAAAAAGGGCTTTTTTCTAAAGTAAAGGGACCAAATTAAGGCTATTTTAAACCCTTAATAGCTCTTTCTGGTCCCTTTATTTTGAAATTTTTGTCATTTAACATCAAAACTTAACAAAATAACTAAAAAGGGCTTAGATTTCAAACTTTAGGGACTAAAAAAGGATTTTTTTAAGTAGAGGGACTAAAAAGCAGCTTTTTTATCAAAGTTGAGGGACTAAATAAGGATTTAACCTTTTCTATAAATTTTCCAACTTGATATGTCTATGAAATGGCTCAGAATTTGACAATTTGACTTTGTGGTAGTGTTTTGGCCATAACTTTTTTTGTAGATATTGGATTGAAGTGATTCTAAAGGCTATACAAAGCTAAGAGATGAAGTTTTAACAATTTTGTGAAGCATTCAACCCAATTCTACTATTTTCAAGGTGAAAATTATGTTCCAATTTTCTTGTTTAGAATCTAACCAGTGTTTTTATGCTCTTATCTTGTTGTTTTCATATTTGTTTTAGGCTAGTTTGAAGGGTTACTACCCTCAATTTTGAGGGCTGTTTTAGGGTGCATCTTGTTGGCAAGTGGCAGTCACTGAATGAGGATTTTAAACATAAATTCTTTTAGTTAAGTTGCTTTTAGTTATGTGTTTTGCCGGCTTGGACCAAGGGTTAGGCTAGTTATAAATGGCTATATTTTGCTTGAAACCAAAGGCTGGTCACACATGGGGAGAGACATGGCGAGATAGTTGTTTTATTTTTTAGATTAATAATTAGGCATGAAATTCTTATGAGTCGAGATTGAAGATTTTTATGATTTTATCTCTGGAGTTAATAAGACATTTTTGTTAAAATGAAATTAGAGAATTACAAAATTTATAATGATGAATTACGATTTAGAGTTAATATTAGGAGCTATGTAAATAATTGTAGTTTATTGAACTTTTGGAAATGAATCTGAATTAAAATCTATTTTGGAGTCTTCTACTATGTGATCACTTCTAAGTAGGTTTTGAGCATCGTATATTTGTAATCTCTATAAATGTAAAGTGTGTGTATATGCCCACATCTTTGGGACGTGACAAAAGATTTGCATAATCGCCAACATAGACAAAATTGATGAGTAAGTGGTGTTTTAAAAGAAAGATTATGTTACCTGACATTATCTATTAAATAGAGTCATTTGCCCAAATTGATAAGTTCGTGAGGTGATTTGTCTCCAATTTTTGTTAAAAATGGATATGTCCCTACCATGATAGTTGGGGATCTGGGCATTCTACCATTCTCTAAACTACTTAGAACATCAAAAATAGCCTTTCGGAGGGAAGAAGCAAAGGAATTCGAAAATGGTAGACACCAATCGTTCAACGAATCAGAATCTTTGGAACTTTGCGCTTTGATGGGGGAAGAGATTCAAACAACGAGAGGAAATCGAGTTAGGAGAGAAAAGACGACGAGGTTCTTGGTGTTGGTAAAAATTGTGAAAGATTTGAAGCTATTCGAGATCTTTGATGAGGCCAGGGAAAGAAACCCCATTTAGCGTTAAACGGAGTAGTTTGTAAAAATTTGACTCTTATATACTGTATAATTCTATTATCAAAATTTTAAATCCTTATAATTTTGTTTGCTCCAAATAGATCCCACCATGTCCAATTTTTTTTCTTTTTATTTAAGCACCTTCGTATTTTTCGTTTATATATACACCACATTTATTTATGGAAATTAACATTTGACTGTTTATGTGGGTTGAAAATTTTCCTATTTTTTCCATTTCCTTTTTCCAGAAAATAAATTTCATTTTCATTTATTAAACAAACTTTCTACTCAATTTCCATTTTTCAATGGAAATAGAGATGAAAAACAGTTTTGTTTTCTAATGCCAGATGCATCCTAAAATTCTGAGCTTGCCTTTAATAGCTCTGTTGTTCAGGTTCATACTCTGTTAGTAATATTGACAGGCACCCCACTGGAAGCCGGTCCACCAAAAACTTTTGCTGAACTGCAGTTATTTTCTCCCAATTGGGATGGGGCAGAGGGAAAGTCGATGCTTTCATGGCTCTCAGAAATTTAATTTTGTTCATGCAGAACAACAAAAATGGTAAGGGAGTTAATTAACATCCAAGTCAGCAACATTCAGATACCCTGCTAGGAAATCCTATGCTTCAAAATGAAGAAAACTATTCTTTCAAGAATCCATAATCTGCAAAAAAACCAAATAAATATACGTACATGCTAATCAAAATACAAAATTTCAAAGTCGTCATCTTCATCAGATTAAAGATGGTGCAACTCAAATTTACGGCGCAGAAATGAGCATTAGTAGCAGAAATTAATTTATTTTGCAGAAATGAATGTATTTTCATATGGAGCAGGAGGAAATGGCACACCAAATGTACAAAAACAGATAGGTTTTTTTATTCACACGACAGGAACCCAAACAAATCGACTTGCATACATGAGAAACACATTATTTGCACGCTGATAAATGTAAGAAATGGCTAAGAATACAGCTAAAGTTTTTCCAAAACAGAGGTCTTACTGAGAAGAACGTAGCTTTTATGTTTCACACACTAGTCTCCTTTGAGATGATTAGACCAACATAGAAGCTGAGAGTCAAGAAAGCCCTAGACCGTGGCATATCAGGAGCTATGCATTTCAAAACCACCATGATTCTCAATGTCAAGCTAAAGACATACTATTGGAAATCCGCACCAGGATCAAGATAAGCATGATCACCAAGCAGAAGTAGCAATTTTTCTGCATTTGGGTTGCCCAACAAGAACTCCAACTACACATATACCAAGCAGAATTCACAATTGGTTTAACCGATGGCACATTCACACAATGATTGCAAGCCCCATTATGTTAATAGAATTCACCAAGATGGAACATGTATGCAGCAATTGGATCAGACCTGAAACTCAATTCAATTCTTCCAACCCACAATTGCAATTCGTTCTCTATAAACATCTCACCTGGAACATAACCATTTATTTCCACAAGGAAGAGAAAGCCCACAAACAGAGCAATAATACTCCAATTTGTCAAAATTTTTAACAAACTTGAATTGCCCCAATTATGGCAATCTCAAAATTCAGCAACTTCAGCCAAGCCATAATTCTTGACTTCCTCTCCTCCAACAAGAGCTAACAATTTGATCTCCTAAAACCCTAATGAATCTTCAAGCAAAGTACTAAGAAAAACCCTAATTTGAATTCACTCCAAATTTTCCAAACCCCTAGGCTGCCTAACCCTAAATTCTCTCCCACACCCACACACACAATCAACAACAGCAGTAGACAAATATTTATAGAATCTATAGATATATACCCCAGAACCACCTCTGGTAATATCACCGCCAAATTCAACGCGGATCCTCCTCTCTCCGACCGGAGCTCCCTGGAGCACCTGACAAGGAAGCTAACAAATTCAGATGTCCCGGCATGTAATTCCCGACCCTCGCCGCAGACGCCTCTCCCATCGCCTGCTGCTGCTGAACGAACAAAGCAGCAGCTGATTGCTGCTGCGCCGCCACGGCTGCCGAGTGTACTACCATTTCTGGAGGTGGCTGTGGGGCAAAGCTCCATACTTGACCAAAGTCCGGCCTAGCCGGAACAGCCCAAAATCCACCGGTAGGCGCTCCAGATGGTCCCACAATCGACCCCACTCCGGGCCCCACCGTGACTCCACCAGTATCGTCCTTGCCAGCGCCTTCGTCCTCTGCCCTGACGCGCTTGCCGAGAATGAAGGGCGCGGGACCCAGGAGCGGCTTATGATCCAAACCCGAAGAAGAAGTCGCCGATGATAAAGACGCAGAGTTTGCACCCCCTCGAACAGACACCGACATCGCTGAGAAACTAGCCGGAGTGGTACCCGTTCCAGTGGCGGCTATGATGGAGGGCTCAGCCTGGCGGAGAAGCCACTCAATTGTCTGACCGTCGGATTTATGACCAAGTTCCCGAGTGAGCTGGAACACCCGGGCGGCGCAAATGATGGGCATCCTGATTCTGCGTCCCCGGCCATCGACCTTGCTATGACGGTCCTTGGATGGTGGCTTCTTGACAGCTAAGGCCCCGTTCCCCGGCGCCTGTTGCCTCTGAGTGTCCATTATTGCTGCTCCGTTGGTCGTCGTCCCCTCCGAATTAGACATACGCCGTTAACCAATTCGACCCCTTTACTCCGCGAGACAATCGCAGGAAGATTTGGGTATGACGGCAAAGATGAAAAGTGAAGCAAGAACTAGGTGGAGAGAGGAGAGGAGAGAAGAGGAGAGAAGAGGAGAGAAGGGGGTTTTTTTTTTTTTGGGGGGGAAGGGAGGGAGCAGAGAGCTAATCATTGAGCGGCAGGAGCTGGTGGAGACAGGAGGGAGGGCACATGGGTGGTGGGACCCAGAAATACACAGTACACAACCCTCCCACAGCTCACGCCCTCCCCTCCCTTTAGTCCCTTCGGGAGGGTAACACTCTCACGCGCGTATTTCGCGTGCTTCACGCGCCTTGTTCTTTTTTATCGCTGAGGGGAATTTAAGTGGGGAGCTGTCAGGCGTGGGTTCCACTTACCCTTTCCGTACTGTTGAATTGAAGTTTCCAGCTACGTGCAGTAAGGCGATTATCCATTTATCTCTTGCCACGTCATCGTTAAATATCGCCTTGTAATTTAATGAGGATAAAGTCTTAACTGCAAATCAAAATAATTGAGAGCCAACGAGTAGCAGAGTTTAGTGCTACGTACTGTCTTTTAAGGTAGAGAAAAAAATTTCACTTTAGTTTTGTTATTATAGCTTAATTTTATTCATTTAACCTTATAATTTGTTTTTGCTTTTATTAAGAGTAATATAAATAAACATAAATGGTTTATAATTTATTGATTTATGAAAAAAATAAAAGATAGCTATTTTAATAAATAATATTTTTCCAATGTTACCTATCAAATTGCTTTGTAAAATTACATTTAAAATTTTTTTAGCTAAAATAAATTAACCCTAAAAAATGTAGATACAAAAACACCATTTAAATTTCTAAATTCAAAATCTCTAACTAAAATTAGCGTATGACCATCATCAAACGCCACTTTCCCATCACTTGCTTGAAGGATATTATTTTCAATAGCATGAGGATGCATTTAGACAACTCAATATGCTACCAGTAGTTCAAATTAAAATCTGTTGCAGATCATCTCTAAGGTACTTAAGCATTGGATTGTCTATCTAAAAGTACCCTTGAGTTTTCAAGTTAATCTATGTTAGACTACAAACTACTACAAGAAGGACTATAATGTTAGCTTGTGCTTTTACATTGGCATCACTTGAAAGAATCAAACCCACATCCACATGATTAGCAATAACACCAATATTGCTAAGTAGATAAGACCTCAGCCTTGGCCTAAAGATGCTAGCTTGGTTTCCCTACCTCTAAACACCAATATTGTCTAAGAACCATACCCCAACAGCTTTAAGTGCTAACTTTAAAGGCTTATGATGGAACGATGGATCTTAATGATCATTTACATGCCTTTTGTTCAGCAACACAAGCTTAAGATGCAGCTTTACTTTGCCTCTGACTCAAATTCTTATGCAAATTAAGAATAAGATGGATCTAAAGAAGCTTGGACTAATGAGAAGTACAAGGTGCAAAAAGGATCTTACACAGTATTGTGATTTTCATCAAGATTACGGTCACACAATATAAGATTGTCATCAACTGAAGCTGAAGTTATAGGGTTTAGCTTGGAAAGACACTTTCTTACCACTTCTTAATCTCCTTTCAAAACGTTTACACCCGTAAGAGTTTGGAACTCCATACATAAATGAGCTTGAGTTACCACAATTGGGATTGCATTCAAAGTTAGTCTCTTTATCACAGCATTATAGAAGGATGCCATTTTGACTACTAAAAACTGAACTAAAGGAGTGACATACCTCGTTCCATCTCAAAAGTAATGAGAGGTTAATCATTCCTTCCACCAAAATGGCTTATTATTAAATCCATAAATTGTCCTATCATACTTCTCTAATTGAGTTAGGTTTATCCTTAAGTCTTCAAAGTGGTGCTAGTATAAGATGTCAAGTGCACTTTCAATGTTAATAAAAGCTCTGTGATTCCCACAATTGTAAATTCATATGGTAGTTACTACACTTCACTCACATATAAGAATGGAAGGCTTAAGCTTTAATGAAAGGGAAGTGTATGTGAGTGAAGTGAAGAAGCAAAGCAACGCTTAGAAAAGAAAATTCCAAGAATCAAATTGCAAAGATTAACTTATCACTCTCACCTCAATTGACTTCCAATGAGTTGTAACTTCACAAAATGATGCACTAGTAACTACCATCTGAATTTACAATTGTGGGATTCATAGAGTTTTTATTAACATTGAAAGTGCACTTGACATCTTATACTAGCACTACTTTGAAGACTTAAGGATAAACCCAACATAATTAGAGAAGTATGATAGGACAATTTATGGGTTTAATAATAAGCCATTTTGGTGGAAGGAATGATGAACCTCTCATTACTTTTGAGAGGAAGGAGGTATGTCACTCCTTTAGTTTAGTTTTTAGTAGTCAAAATGGCATCCTCCTACAATGCTGTGATAAGGAGACCAACTTTGAATGCAATCCCAATTGTGATAACTTAAGCTCATTTTTGTATAGAGTTCCAAACTCTTATGGTTGTAAGTGTTTTGAGATGAGACTAAGAAGTCGCAAGAAAGTGTTATATGACCTCTTTCACACACTCGAGAAAAGGGGAAGGATGCACCTTGAGTGATTGGGATAAAATGTTTTGAGAATAAACAAGATAATGAGCAAACACCTATCTAATGGAAGAAATTGAAGTAGTTCAAATCAATGATAGAAATCCAAGTCAAATTATCTAAATTCACACCAAACTCAATTATAAGGAAATGAGAAGCTTGTGGAATTCTTGAGGAAAAACAAGAATATTTTTGCTTGGTCAACTAATGAGATGCTGGGAGTGCTTGCCTCAATTACCAAGCATAAACCTTAACACTAACCCTTTAAATAGTAACACAAAAGAAGTGCTTCTCCAATGGGGAAAGATTAAGAGTAATAAATGAGGAAGTATAGAAGCTACTTCAAATTGGATTTGTAAAAGAGGTTGATTACTATGAATGGGTGGCCAACCCAGTTCTAATGAAGAAGGCTAATGTGAAATGGAGGATGTGTATTGACTACACTGATTTAAACAAGGCTTCTCTAGAGAACTATGTTATTATGCCAAATATTGATAAGCTAGTAGCAAAAGCTTCAAAGAATGAGAGGATAAGCTTATTGAATACTTTTTTGAGATAGCATCAACAAGTCTTGATAGCACCTAAGGATGAAGAGAAGACCTCATTCTCTATTGAGAATGAGATTTATTATTACGTAATGATACTTTCAAGTTAGGACAACTTTTACTAAAGAATGGTTTCCCTAGTGTTCAAAGCCCAAATTGGAAGGAGCCTTGAAGTGTCCATGGATAACATTGTAGTCAAAAGCATTAAGGCCAAAGACTACTTAACAAACCTAGAAGAAACGTTTAACAACCTAAGCAAAAACAAAATAAAGCTAAATACAACAAAGTGCACCTTCAGAGTTGAATATGAGAAGTTTGTTAGGTATCTAGTCTCTAGGATAAGGATAGAGATCAACTCATAAAAAACAAGGCAATAAAGGAAATGTAGCCATCGAAGTGCATTAAGGATGTGTAGTGCTTGGGTGGTTATATTACTACACTCCATTGATTTATGTCTAAATTGATTGAAATACGCTTGCCTTTCTTTAAAAACTTAAGAATAGTGCATATTAAAAATAAAGATGAGAAGTTCAAGGAGTTTGAATGGCTAAAAATTGTCAAAGTACATTTGAAGAACTAAAGAAGTACCTTAGTTCATCTTCGTTATTGATCAAACCAAAAAAGTTACAAATATTATATTTATACTTAGCTATTCCCAATAAAGCAATTAGCTCAATCTTTATTAGAAATGCAAGGAAGAAGTAGAAGCTCATGTATTATGTTAGCAAGAAGGTGTAAGGGCTTGAAGAAAGGTACCCGCTAGTTGAGAAGGCAACTTTACTAGTTGTGATTGCAACTTTAAAGTTCAAACCATACTTTCAAATCTCATTTAACTATAGTTTTGATAGATCAACCATTAAGACAAATTTTACAAAATCTAAAGTACTCGAGTCACTTTATCAAATAAGCAATCTAATTAGGAGAGTTTGAAATAATGTACTAGCTAAGAACAACTATCAATGCCTAGACCTCAATTAATTTTATTGTGAAGTACACCTTGGCTTAGTTGAGGTTAGAACCTCATAATTGGACACTATACATTTAAAGGGCCACAAATGGGAAGGATCTGAAGCTAGAATGGTCATTCTTGACCCGATGATTTTAAAATTGAACGTGCCTTGAAATTTAACTTTGAAACTACAAATAATATGGTTGCGAAACAAATGAACCAATCCTCAAAAAGTATGAAACCACAAAGCTCTACATTTACTTCATTGATTACTTTGGGTAAATACTATAGACGTCATTACCAAGTCTATATGTAAATACCCCTCAAGGGCTATCCCTAAGGTAGTTTGAGAACTTTTATCCTTTTCCTTCCTTACCTCAGCTACTAAGTAAACTATAGCTGACTTAAACATCAAAGTGTTTGTCCCAAGGTACGCCTTCAAGTCTTCAGGTTGATCTACCTCAATTATGGACTATTGCAAAAAAGACTACAAAGTTAATTCTTGCTTCTACAAATTTGGCATTGATATCAAAATTTTATATGAATTTGCATGCAAGTAAATAGTTAATAGAAAAATAACGTGTAATAATGTTAACTATAATTTTTTTTGTTATTTACAATCAAGGTGTCCTCAGGCTAACTTTCATGCACTAGGACACCCCCCTCCCCCCACATTGGCTTAATACATTCAAGAAAATTAATTTTGCTTGGGTACTAGCACTAAGACTTAAACAATGGACTTGACTTTTAAGACGACACTTACTAACTAGTGGATTCAACTCATGAAGTTTAATGTTAACCATAAATTATGGGTGGAAATCTTCAATTAAAAATTTTTGAAGACTAGTTTTGTGAGAGTAGCCATAGTCAACCTAGTACTCCCTAGATTCTTTGTACAAAAGTAGTGAAGATTCAATGACATGAATATTTTTTTTCTTTAGATCGATGAGTTTTGGATGAATCAATGACTTATTTTGATGTATCATTGAAAAAATTGGTAGAAGAATAGGGGGATCAATAAAAGACAAGATTAAAGTGAGAAAAGAAACCTTAGATACAGATCAATTGTCTTATGTAGATCAACTCCCAACTATAGTTGGAGGTTTGACGCATTAGATAATTAAAGTTAAGCGATAAGTAGTTGTCTACTTGAAAAAAATGAAAAATGACAATTTATTTGAGACAAATTTTGAGTAAAAAACTTCAGAGTAGTTAATTTACTATGGAATAATTGTTTGAAGGTTATATTTCAAATTTAGTCTTTAAACTTTTAATTTTGAATTGTAGTCCCTGAATTATTTTTTGCACTTTTTTTTTTGTCTTTTCATCAATTTAATCCGTTAAATCTATACAATTGGCATTTTTTGGGTCCCTAAACTTTTGTTTTATGCACATTTTTAGTTCTTAACTAATTTTCATCACACATTTTTAATCACTAAACTTTTGTTTTATGCATTTTAGGTCATTAAAGAAAATTTTAAAAATGATAGCTGGATAGAATTAGCAAACAAAAAAAAAAATTGATGAAAAGATAAAAAATATATATATTTTTCATAATTGAAGGATGAAAAAAAGTGCAAAAAATAATTCAAGTATTAAAATTATTGAAAATTGAAAGTTTAGCAATTGAATTTGGCTCTTAACCTTGTTTGAAATTTAAATTTGTGTAACTACCATTATTTGCTAATAAATGCCTCATTAATTCATTTTCCAATGCAAAAGATCCAAGAATGAACATAAAATTGTTCATATCTGATCCAAATTGATTGCTCTAATCAAAGTCGACCTATTCTAATTAAAATTCAATCCAAATTAACATCAATTTGAATAGGTTTGGATTATAAAACTTAAAATTTATATATTTGGTTTGGTTTATAATTTTACATTAAACCACCAGATTACAAATAACATAATTAAATAACACAATAATTTTAATAATTTTATAATTTTTTAGTAGATGTATATTTGAAAAAGTGCCCATTAGTCTTATTTCTTAAACATTTGGAGGAAAATATCTCAACTTATATCATTTCAATAAACTTTCATTAAAAAAAGACTAATTACATATTTTTAAAGCATAATTTAAACTATTTTTTGTTTCTCCTTGTTATACCCTAAAACAAGTCCTATGATAATTAGGACACGTGGAGGCATTCTAGAGATAATCCTATCAAAAGTAGAATAGGATAAATCCCACTAGAATAAGAATATCTCAAACACCAATCAAATAAAACTGTATTCCTAGAATAACTATATTTAAGCATCCTATAAATACCTCTAGGATCAACCTAAGGAGGTAGATTATTTTTCCACCATCATTCTCCCTCTATTGTAAACACTCTCTATCAATAAAGATCTTGGTCTCACACTACCTACTCTATTTTTACGGTTAACATTTGGCGCCCACCGTGGGGCCCAGTTCTTTTTGATCCACGAATACCACATGAAAAATTCAGAAAATTCATCACCTCCTAGCAAAATCACCCTAGATTCCAGAAGCAAAGCCATAATGAGCAACTCCTCTTCATCAAGCACGAATCCAAGAGATACTATCAACAAAACCAAACCATCAGACTCAACGGTAGCATTGCTAATACAGAAACTTACACAAGACATGGAAGAAACAAGGCAAAGTTTAAAAGCAATCGAGCGGGCCATAGCATCCATGACGAAGGCTACCAATACCTTGTCACAAGAAGCTAAACGAGAACGCTTGTCACGAAGTGACGCCAAGACACTTGAAGGGAAAAAGCAAGATTCAGCACAAGGAAACAAAAATCAAGATGAAAGCTACGTACCTTCAAGATCGACAGAGTTGACAATCGACACGAGCTTACAACCATCTTCAGCTTTCACTCAATACAATTTTCGAAGTAAAAACATGATACCTCGTACACATTCAAACCAAAGGAAGGCTAGCCAACAAATCCAAGAAGCCATACTCACGGCAACAGGACCACAAAAGACAGAAACACAGGTTCATGATGACGGTATTTACAAAGAAATTGAGGTATTACGACAACATCTAGCAAAAATAGAAGCAGGCAGGCAGAGGTATGCAGAACCAGCACACACAACTTCAGTGGAAAAAGCCTTTACAGACGACATCATCAGGGAACCTGTGCCATCAAACTTCAAAACTCCGTAGCTAGTCGAGTACGATGGAACTCAAGACCCAGTGGAGCACATGCAAGGATATAGAATGGCAATGATGGTATATGGAGCCTCGAATGCCTTATTATGCAAGTAGTTTCCAGCAACTTTCAGGAAAGCTGCGCAGGCTTGGTTCGCAACATTACCAGAAAAATCTATCCAAACCTTTGATCAATTTGCGAACATGTTCATCAATCACTTCACTGCCAACAGAGCTCCCCGAAAAGACCAACCATCATCTCCTAACAATTAAACAAAAAACAAGAGTCACTAAAAGCCTACATAGCAAGATTTCACAACAAAGCTATGCAAGTAGAATGATTGGACCAAAGCGTTGCAATGCATGCTCTAATGGACGGACTTAAAGACTCAAGTTTCTATAGATCTCTAAACAAGCGAGAACCCACTAGCCTTAATGATCTCTTAAGAAGGGCGGAAAGGTACATCAGAGTAAAAGAAAGGGCGGCAGTAAAAGAAGCACAAGAAACATCAAATTTAGAAGAAGGAAGAAAGCAGAAAATAGAAAAAGATATAGATAATAAAAGTACCAAAGATAGAAAACAATCAAGATACAACCTGAGAGATAGACACCCCCGGACACAGAGAGAATTTGTGGGATATACAACACTCACACCTTTAAACACCAGCAGGACAGAGGTCTTCAACGTAGCAAAGAAAATAGAGAAGCTGCAATGGTCGGCAAGAATGGCGAGTAACCCAACTAGAAGAGATCAGATGCGATTCTGCGCCTTTCATGGAGAACATGGACATGATACAGAGGAATGCAAACAACTGAAAATAGAAATTGAGAGGTTAATAAGACGAGGAGCACTCCGGCAATTCGTTAAAACAAACGACGGTAGTAGAAATAGGAAAGATCAGCACAAAAAGCCTGGAGAAAAAGAGAAAGAAAAAGAATAGCCACTAGAAGTTGTGGGGACCATTAACATCATAAGCTTACCGTCTGAAGTACGTAGCAAAGAAAGAACCTCGCCAGTAACATTGGAAGCAAAGAATTCTTTAAGAAAAAGTGAGAGCTTCACAGAAAAAGACCTGCAACAAAGGGAAGTGTATCCTCATGAACCCTTAATGATACAAGTAATAGTTGAAGACAGAAACCTCCGACAAGGAAAAATATTCAAAAGAATATTAGTAGACACAGGGAGTTACAGAGATAGACTTACACATGAAGTTTTCAAAAAGTTGGGATTCTTAGCACAACTTATGAGACACTGTGAATTCCCATTAGTAGGACTGTCTGGAAGAGAGGTACCAGTAGTGGGAATCATTACAATACCCATCCACGTTGGCGATACCGCTCAAAAAGCTGTGGTAACTTTGGACTTCTTTGTTGTCTCGGAACAATCAGAAATCCGGAAACTGCGGCCCAAGTCCCGAACTTGGGATTTAATTGCAACAGGTGATATCAGGAGAAGAAGAGCATTGACAATAGATACAATGGATGCACGAGAAGGTATAAACGAACAATGAGCAGAGCCCATTGATTGCACCAAATCCGTGGTACTCACCTCAAAAAATCCAGACAAAACAATGAGTGTAGGAGCAGATATGGATCCAGAATTTATCGCAAAACTAGAAGAATGCTTAAGAAGGCATGAAGGTATATTTGCAGGAAGCGCAGCTGACATGCCTGGAATAGACCCTGAAGTCACATGCCAGAGGCTCAGGGTACCCCTAGAAGCTGTGCCAGTCAGGCAAAAGATGAGACAATTTGGAGCCAAAAGAACCGCAGCTATAAAGGAAGAAATAGAGAAATTAAAAGAAGCAGGATTTATAAAAGAAATAAACTTCTGCGAGTGGTTATCTAACATCGTCATGGTAAAAAGAGCAAATGGAAAATGGCGCATGTGCATTGATTTCACTGACCTTAATAAGGTGTGCCCCAAGGACAACTATGCATTGCCTAACATAGATGAATTAGTGGACAACTCCTTCGGATATGAAATACTCAGTTTCTGTGACGCCTATTCAGGATACAACCAAACCCCACTCGCAAAAGAGGATCAAGACAAAACAGCTTTCATCGTGGCAGGAGAAACATACTGCTACATAGTGATGCCATTTGGCCTAAAAAACGCAAGAGCAACATACCAACGTTTTGCAAACAAAATCTTTGTGTTGTTGAAAGGAAAGTGCGTAGAAGTATATGTCGATGACCTGATAATAAAAAGCAGAAGTCTAGATCAGCATCTTGAAGACTTAGAGCAAGTTTTCAGCATACTACAGGAATATGGCATGAAATTAAATCCTCTAAAATGTACGTTCGGGGTGAAGGCTGGAAAATTCTTAAGCTTCATGCTAACCAACAGAGGTATTGAAGCAAATCCAGAAAAAGTGCTTGCAATAATAGAAATGAAACCCCCAGCTTCAATAAAAGAAGTACAACACCTTATGGGAAAAATTGTGGCATTAGGAAGATTTCTGTCAAAATCTACAGAAAGGTGCTTGCCCATCTTTGAAATCCTACGAGGAAAGAAAATCTTTGAATGGACACAAGACTGCCAGAGAGCTTTTGAACAATTGAAAGCATACCTGGCATCTCCACCTTTAATTAGCAAACCTAGCCCTGGAGAGACATTATTCCTATACATAACGGCAACAACAGAAGTAGTTAACGCAGCTTTAATCAGGCAAGAACAAAAAAGGCAAAGACCTGTGTACTTTGTAAGCAAAGTACTACAAGAACCAGAAAAAAGGTACGCACCTTTAGAGAAGCTAGCATATGCAGTAATCATAGCAACCAGAAGACTAAGATATTACTTTCTGGGGCACAAGATTACAGTCCTCACCAATTATCCATTGAGGCATGTATTGCATAAACCAGACTTAGTAGGAAGGCTGGTAAAATGGAGCATTGATCTTATAGAATTTGATGTGGAATTCCAGCCACGAAAAGCTATGAAAGCTCAGGTTTTGGCGGACTTCATAGTAGAACTGAGTAAGGCAGAAAAAGCTGCGCTTGACACACCTTTACCAACACCCCCAGCAAAACGGCAATCATTAGAAATAGAAGAAGAGCAAGCAAGGGCAATTCCACCAGATCTTTGCTGGGTCCTCCATGTTGATGGATCATCAAGTGAGAATGGGAGTGGCGCAGGAATCATACTGACATCATCAGAAGGAGAAACCTTCGAGTACGCACTAAAGTTTACGTTTGAGGCATCCAACAATAGAGCAGAGTACGAGGCTCTGCTGGGTGGACTTCGGTAAGCAAAAGCTGTGAATGCAGAATACATCAAAATATTTAGTGATTCACAGTTAGTAGTAAACCAAGTAAAAGGAGATTTCAACGCTCAAGAAACAGTAATGACAAAATACCTGGAAAAAGCTGCGCAACTCCTTAAATCATTCAAAGGATATGAAATGCACCACATAAAAAGAACCGAAAACTCAAAAGCTAATGCACTGACCAGACTAGCAAGTTCAGGAGTCACAGAATCGGGAAAAGAGATATACGTTGAAGAATTGAGCTCCCCCTCAATATCTGAAGAAGAATTCCTGGAGATAGAAGAAGAAGAAGTAACCTGGATGAATCCAATCAAAAGATACCTCTCTAATGGAGATTTACTTGAAGACAAGAAAGAAGCACAAAAGTTGAAAAGGAAAGCAGCGTGGTATACAATCCTTGGTGATCATCTCTATCGAAGATCATACACACACCCATGGCTCAGATGTCTGACACCCAACGAAGCAAAAACCGTAATGGAAGAAATTCACGAAGGAGAATGTTCCAACCACATAGGAGCAAAATCACTATCATACAAAATCCTCCGCCAAGGATATTTTTGGCCAACCATGAAGATGGATACAAGGGAATACATCAAGAGATATGACAAATGCCAAAGATTCACTCGAATATAACACCAACCATCAAATCCTCTGCATATGGTAACAGCTCCATGACCTTTTGCAAAATGGGAGATGGACATCCTTGGGCCCTTCCCAAAAGCAAAAGGAAAAAGGAAGTACCTTATAGTTGCAATAGACTACTTCACGAAATGGGTGGAAGCCGAGGCAGTGGCCAGAATAATAGAACAAAAAATAGAAGAGTTTGTAAAGATATGCATCATATGCAGGTTTGGAACACCAAAAATCCTGGTCACGAACAATGGGACCCGGTTCGCAAGTGAATCTTTCAAAGAATTCTGTCAAGCATAGAATCTGGAAAGACGATTCACAATCAAAGCTCAGCTAGAAAATGAAGGAAAAACACCAGAGCAAATTGAGCAGAGATTTGCTTCAGTAGCTTACCCAGAATCAAACGGACAGGCAGAAGCTGCCAACAGAATCATATTAGATAGCTTGAAAAAGAAGGTAGGGAAGGCAAAGGGCTCATGGACAGAAGAACTACTGTACACATTATGGGCCTACAGAACCATGTACTGCACATCCACCGGTGAGACCCCATTCAATTTAACATACGGAACAAAAGCAGTGATTCTAGTAGAAACTAGAATTTCAATGCATAGAACCAGCCATTATAACGAACACAAAAACAAAGAGACTTTAAGAGCCAACCTAGATTTACTAGAAGAAGTTAGGGACTTATTGCAAATACGAATGGCAAGTTACCATAGAAAAGCAGAAAAATATTACAACCGCAAGGTAAAACCCAAAAACCTATGCAAAGGAGATTGGGTACTAAGAAGAGCAAAGGTCTCAGAAAGAAATCCCCGAGAAGGAAAGCTATGCCCAAGCTGGGAAGGACCATACCTCATCAAGGAAGATTTAGGCAACGGAGCCTTCAAGCTGATACGCCCCAAGGGAGCAATAATCCCACGGACCTGGAATGCTACGCACCTTAAAAAATACCACTGGTAAGCAAAGGAAAGTAATCTTGTAAAGTACTCCCCATCAATATTGCGACTTTCATTTGAATAAAATGAGAAATTTAGCAAAAGCCAGATAAAACAAAAATGTGCTTAGACAAACAATAAAGCTGCGAACAAGTTTGGATGTAAATAAATATCCAAGCAAAAGTTACACAAGCAAAAATAAAGCTGCGAACAAGTTTGGATGTACATAAATATCCAAGCAAAAGTTACGCAAGCGAAAATAAAGCTGCGAGCAAGTTTGAATGTACATAAATATCCAACCAAAAGTTACGCAAGCGAAAAAGAAGCTGTGAGCAAGTTTGGATGTATATTAAATACCCAAGCAGAAGTTACACAGACAAACAATAAAGCTGCGGGCAAGTTTGGATGTACATAAACATCCAAGCAAAAGTTACGCAAGCGAAAAAGAAGCTATGAGCAAGTTTGGGTGTACATTAAATACCCAAGCAGAAGTTACACAGACAAACAATAAAGCTGCGAACAAGTTTGGATGTACATAAATATCCAAACAAAAGTTACGCAAGCGAAAAAGAAGCTGTGAGTAAGTTTGGGTATACATTAAATACCCAAGCAGAAGTTACACAGACAAACAATAAAGCTACGAGCAAGTTTGGATGTACATAAATATCCAAGCAAAAGTTACACAAGCGAAAATAAAGCTGCGAGCAAGTTTGGATGTACATAAATATCCAAGCAAAAGTTACACAAGCGAAAATAAAGCTGCGAGCAAGTTTGGATGTACATAAATATCAAGCAAAAGTTACGCAAACTTGGCTATACGTAAATACCCAAATAAAAGCCACGCAAGATGCACCACAAAGGATAAGACAAATCTCAAAAAATAAGAAAACATATTTTCCATATATATAGTCTTGATAAAAAGCACAAAGCAAGACAAGACGAAAACCAAGTCCACAAACAAAAAGAAAGGTATAATATCCACAGCTCTCGGGCTCACTACATAGGCAGAGAAGGGGAGGCACCCTATGAAACCTCCGCATCAACAGAGCTACCCTTGCTACACACAACTGTGGCAGAATCTCCCACATCCCAAGAGCTACCAGTACCTTTAGACACCTGCCTAGGAGAATCATCCAGAAAAACAGCACTAGGACCTCGATCATAAGTTCTCTTTAAATCCGGATTAGCATGAATCAAGGCAGCAACGTCCATATCCTCAAACTCAACAAGACAGTCAGACACAATCAGCCCACAACGAGGAAGCAACATCTTGATAAGCTTGACAGCAAGATTAAAATAACCCAAACTGTCAGAAAGAGCGAAGGCTCTACCTTCTGGAGACTCCTTAAAAGACTGAACGATGGAAGAAGACGAAGCTTGTAAGGAGGAAAGTTGCACCTTCAGATTCGAGACAGACCTCTCCAAAGCAGAATTCGCAGAAGAAAGATCACCCAACTGCCATTGCAAAGCCAAAACAGAGGACTCCAAAGGCGCTTTTTCAACAGCAGCAGCAGAAGAAGAGAAAAGTTCTTTCTCTTTTTTCAACAAATCATAACATTCTTGGAGATAGTTAGCTATTTCTTCAACCTCTCAACCTCGATAGAATTAGCTCCCAATGCTGTTTTCTCAGAATGAAGCTGGCAGCACAAGTTCAAAAGATCTTTACTCCTCTCCCGCATTTCAGACAAATCAGCAGCAGCACGATAGGAGGAATCTTCCTTATCTAGGAGAATTTCCTTCATATGCTGTAGTATAGCACAAACCTAAAACACAAGAGCAAAGAAAGACATTAAAAATAAAACAGCAAAAACCAACCACAAAAAAGAAGGAAAAACACATACACTGGCAGAATGATGAACGGCCATGTCATGAAGGGCCTCCAAAGGAAAATTTGAAAGCAATTTTTTGTCACCAACCAACAGCATGTATTTAGAAGATTCACGAGCAATGGAACTATGCCCAATAATGGAAAAACCCTTTAAGCAAACATCATAACCTGCACAAGAAAGAAGGAACAATAAACCAACAGAGAGAAGAAATTAATACAAGGGCAATAAAGAAAAAGAAATACTGGGACAGACAACATCTTTCAAAGGCAACCTCGTCAGAGGTTTAGAAAAACTCTTCCCAACAATAAAATCCATAAAAGAAGAAATCAAGAGCCTCCCCTTTGAAGAGAACTGTTGCAACTCATCATCAGGAAAAACAAAGGAAACATGAACCTCCTCATCAACCTCAATAACACCACCTTCCGCCACACGCTTATCAGAACCACCAACGGAAGCTGCTTTAAAAGAAGCACTTTTTAATCTCTTAGACCTCCTCACAGCTAAAGGCGCCCCTTGAGAAACAGCCCCCTTAGACTTACCAGCAGCCTTCTCAACTTTCTTAGCTAACACTTTCTCGGTCTTCACAGCTTTATCAACCCTCTCAAGTTTTTCAATCTTGGCAGAATGACTCAAAATAGCTAAGGTATTTATGCCACCTGAAACATACAAAAAAAATGTAACTAGAAGAGAAAAAACAAGAAAATATCAAGGAGAGCCAAGCAGAAAGAAGAAAGAATACCAGCAGAACCAAGAAAAAAGCTAGGACTGCTTTCACCAGACTTTCGTTTTAAAGAACGTTCAGGCTTCGGAAAGGCCTCAAAACCAGAAGGAACAAAAGGAACAGGAAAAGCAGAGTAAGAGTCACAGGAACCAAGAGCCCAGACACCTGCCTCAATCAAATTTTCACGAACAATCAACTCTGCAATACTCACAGATGGTTCGGTAACAAACTTATGGACAACCTTATAATCATCTACTGAAAGCAAAACCTCAACAATAGTAGTACGAGGGACCCGCCAGAGAAAAGGAAAATCAACATCCTTGGGGGCACTCAGAAAGAAAAACCTCTTATGCCAATTATTGGAATCATAACCAGGCAAGGGGTCCACAAAAACAGTATTACCCCGGCGACGTTTTTTATCATCCACACCTTGAAACTCTAATACTCTATGAGAAAAATAATACCAACTACCAGTGGGATCAGCAGTTTTTAATTGAAAAAAGAAACAAAAAAGCTCATGGGTAGGTGTAATCTTGAGAAGGAAACATCTCACAATAAAAGCAACAATATAAGCAATAGCACGAGGGGCCAATTGGGGAAGGCCAATGGAGAATTCATCACAAATCTCAAGAAAAAAGGATGCAAAGGAAAACGCAACCTACATGCAAATTGGTCCTTATAGACACACACATATCAAGAAGAAGGCATTGAAATGCCGTGCGGCCCACCAGATGTTGAGGAAGGAAAACCTGCGGATCTATCAAGTTCTTTCTATAAATCTCCCTAATCTCATTCACATCACAACTACTAGTAACCCAAGACACTTTATCAAGATCACATAACACCTTTGTCGACCCTAGAGGAAGAACAACCTTTCCACCCTTTGAAGACAAAACCAAAGGAACCTTTGTGGGAATGGAAGGAACCACAGGATCTCTCTCCACATGGCGTAAAGCACCCTTCACAACAAACTTCCCATTCGCATTAAGGGGAAGGCAGAAAATATCAAAGAACTCCGGCTTAGAAGAAGAGGGAAGGACACCCACGTCATCAATGGAAGAGCCACCAGAGGCAGAGACCGGAACAGAGTCGAAAGCAAAGGACGGAACAAAGCCGGAAGCAGAGATCGGAACAGAGCCAGAGGCAATGACCAGAACAGAGCCAGAAGCCGTGACCGGATCAAAGCCAGAGGCAATGACCAAAACAGAACCAGAAGCAATGATCAGAACAAAGCCGATAGCAGAAGCCAGAATAGAACCGGAAGCAGAGAGATTAACGGCCATCACAAGATAACCAGCCAAGATCAAGCCACAAGATCAAAGAAATTTTCCCCAAACATAAGAAAACAAAGAAGAAAAGGAAGAATCAAGAGAAAACAAAAAGAAATCAAAAGGAAGTCAAACAAAAAGGAAAGGAAGAATCGGGAAACTCAAAAGAAAACCCCATCTAGCCAAAAAGGATAAATTGCATAAAATCCCAAGAAAATAGGGGTTTGAACCAAAAGGGGGTGGCCGTACCAAAAAGCCATACAACGGGGGCCACATACATAAAGTTGTTGCCAAAAAGTAGAAAAATTCGGGAAATGCAGCCGTAAAAATATGGAAAAAATCAAGAAAGGACTTGAACAAATCTACAGAGTAATTAATTTCAAACAGAAACTTTTAATAAGGAAACTGCGCCAGGAATCACAAAGGAAAAACCTGTGCTGCACTCTTTTTTCCTTAAACTAGATTTTTATCCCATAGGATTTTTTCTAGTTAAGGTTTTTAATGAGGCAGTCGTGGTTAAAAAATGGGAACTAGCACAGAATTCAAAACCAAGAAGCAGCAAAGCAATGAAAAAGACAGACAATTGTTGAAGTTTTCACTATCCTCAAAACTTCTTTGATTGGGGGGCAAATGTTATACCCTAAAACAAGTCCTATGATAATTAGGACACGTGGAGGCATTCTAGAGATAATCCTATCAAAAGTAGAATAGGATAAATCCCACTAGAATAAGAATATCTCAAACACCAATCAAATAAAATTGTATTCCTAGAATAACTATATTTAAGCATCCTATAAATACCTCTAGGATTAACCTAAGGAGGTAGATTATTTTTCCACCATCATTCTCCCTCTATTGTAAACACTCTCTATCAATAAATATCTTGGTCTCACACCACCTACTCTATTTTTACGGTTAACACTCCTCATGGTGATTTTCCTTCTAAGTTTTAAGAAATAAGATGGATAAAGATTAATCTCATATATTTTTAAATTTTTTTGGAAAAATATATTATATTTTTATTTTTGTATATAAATTGTAATTTGAATTTTATTTTATTTCTTTCTATAGTATACTTTTTTTTGTGTGATTATATTATAATATTAATTGTATTGGCTATTATTTATTTATTTCAGTTTTATACTATAATTGTACAATATAATTTAATTAAAAAAAAGTTGTTCATGACCATTTAAGGTTTAAAAAAAGAAAAAGAAAAATTAAGTATAAAATTTGAAAAATTTAGAGTTCAATCGTTAAAATTATAAAGTGGAACAAGTCACCTAAAATTTAAAGTGGGACAAGTTACCTAAAATTTTTAGGGAAAAAATCGAAATCCAAGGGAACAATTAGGTGGGGAAAAGGGCAAACAACCTCCATAAAAAGACAAAGTTGCATAATCTTAACTTTGGGTTTTTTAACTCGACTTATGCTGGCCTTATTTGACTCAATTTAAAAAATGATAAGTGAAATTGAATTTTTATGAAAAGAGAGGAATTTATTTACAAAGATTGGAAAAGATTTGGAAAGACTAAAGGGCTTGGAAAATTTTGGGGTTTAGTTTGCCAAAATGAAAATTTTGAGAGGTTTGTTTGACTTTTTTTTCTTTTTTCTTTGAGTTTTTGACCCAGTACTAGGCTAATAAAAATGAAGTAATAATTATATCAAAATGTTTAACTTCAAACATAAAGATAAAAATATTTGATTTCGTAAAGTTTGACCCACACCGACTCACTATTGACTCGGATAAATGATAATAAAATTCGATTGAGAAAATAAGTAATTAGTCAAAATTAATTAAGATTAACTAAAATTAATTAATTGTTTTAGTTAAATTCTAATTAACTCAATCAACTGTCAATTGAAATAATTAATGAGAATTAATTAAAACAAATCAACTTAATTAATTATTACAAAAATTGTTTTATTTAAAAAAGGGTTTTAGATGTTCGGTCAAAATTTGGATTGAAATCTAGTGGGCTTAGTCCCATTACATTATTTATTTCTCTTCCCCTTTTTTTTTTTTTTTAATTGCAACCCAATAAGAGAAGAAAACAAAAATAGAGAGAAAAAATAACTACTGGGTTGACCCTTCCTAAGTAACATGACCCGTAAGAGAAATCAAGTTTAAAAGGAATAAAGAAGGGGGTTTTGCAATTGTTCTTGGCGTTCTTTATGGAATCAAACAAAATCTGATAATTTGATGGACTCGTCGGATTCTGGCAACATTGAAAGTGTAATTGCACCAAACCAGAAGTCTTTCTTCAGTCCATATCTGCACTCCGGATTGACCTGCAAAGCCCCGAGGTAGGTCCTCAAGGGAGACACTCCGATACTTAAGTCAGCAATAATCGAGGCTACCTTTAGAGCAGAGATCAAAGGAGCTTAAGGTTGGTTTCAATTACCTTTTTGACGTGGCCCCTAAGGGGTATTTATAGGCTCCAATGAACCCACGTGGCATGCCAAGCAAGATAATAGGAGCCTGACGTGTCTATCCAAACGTTATTTCGGGACCGGGAATTTGAGAGATATTCAAATGCAAGGATGTCCATCATAACTGCTGTGTAGCTTATCATAAAGAATTAGGTGCGGGCGTGCTTATTGTCGCTGTCATGCAGCTATTTGAGCTGGAAGTTTTGGATTTATCCATCACTTCAGTCATAAAGGAATTACTGTCATACGTCCGAGGTTGGGCACCTCGGACCTGTCCTTACACTAGTGAAATCAAGAAG